TTATTTATCTGAGGCTTCTACATACATGGATTTGCTCAACTACAGTTTGAATATATTTGGGGAAAAAACTGCATCCATAATGAACATGTAGATCTTTTTCATTTTTTTATTAGGGCTTAATAACTATTTACATAGGTTTTACATGACAGTAGGCATTATAAGTAATTTAGAAATGATTCAAACTACAAGGAAGGGTGTGTGTAGGTTATCCATAAAAACTGAATCATTTTATATAAGGCACTGCAGTACCTGCAGATTTTAATATCCACATGGGTCCTGAAAACAATCTTTTACAGACAGCAAAGAGCAACTGCTATCTGAGAAGTGATGCTACACAGTAAAAGCATTCAGTGTGAGAATGAATGGATGTATTCAGCAGAAAGACCATTTGATCATTTAAACCAATTCTGTGGAGTTTTCAGTAAATTTTTCTCAATCAAGTGCACATGAATAAAACTATAGTACTAAAATATTGTCTAAGCATTTCCTAAAGGTATGGATTGTAAGGAACTTTCTGAGTATATAATAAAGATTACAGCTGTAGAGCACATGAACTGCAAAAACAATGCAGTCATTTTTCCCTGTTTCTGAAAACTATGTAATAAAGAAACCAATAAATCTTTCTTGGATTTATGCAGTTGATTTAAAAATCTATGCTGGCTTAAAATTATTTCTGTCATATCATGTAAACTCAAATCAGTTGTTTCGAAACTTAAATGCTATTAGAAAATAATATCTTCAATTTCCAAAGGCACACATAAATAAAATATTTTAATATTCATTTGGTCAGCCTAAATATTAGATTGACTATAAGTCTCCAGTTTCTACCTACCCAATTTTTATTAGTATTTTTCTAGTGAACATTTTTTACTTTTTTTTAAGGTTTCTTGTCCATCATCATAGAGCATATGTCTTAAATTATGTCTCTGTAAGTGATAGCTTCACATATTTACATAAACGTCTTCCTCACATGATCCTGGATGGAAAACAGGCAGGAAGAAACAGAGAAACAAATACTCTGGAATTTTCTCTGATCTAACTAGATCATAAGTAACAAATACAAATCATACATAACTAATACCTGAAGCCACTCTAAAAAGAGAGTTGAAAGAAATGGAAACAGAGCTTTTGCAAATGGGAAGGGGAAGAGCTGGAGGGAGCTGGGAGGAATAGGAGGGGAAGGCGACCAAAACCAAAACATAAACAAGAGAGACAAATTAAGATGTGTTATGTACATGTATAAGCTCCTCATGATAAATACAAACATGTACTGCAAATATTTACTAATAAAAAAAGAAGTAAAAGAAGCTAGGGTAATTTAAGAAAACAAATAAGTACTTAGGTATTAAAAGCTACAACCAAATAAAATACTCTCTTCACTAACAAAATTAAACAAAGAACACCACTTTATCAAAAAGAGTCAAAGAAAGAAAGCTCTAAAGAAAGCCAAAGAAAGAAAGCTCCAACTTATCTGTCTTATTCTGAAGTTCCATAGCACTGGAGACTATAAAATAGTGCGATTTACACCAAAATCACACACCCCCACTTGAGATATTTTCCACAACCTAAGCTATACTTTTGTCACTTAAATGAAAACATACATCCTTCCCACATAGTAACTTGCTGCATGTTCATAAGAAAACACATTAAAAAATCTAGTCCCCTGACAAATACTGGCAATGAAACAGGCTAAAATTCCATAGTGGAAATTCAGTATCATAAAATGAAAGTAGATTTTTAAAATTAACAATGATCTTTCCAAAGTCTTTTATATAATAAACCACTCCTTCATTAACCCGAGGTGTTCTTTTCAGCATGCACATACGTGCACACACAAAGGCATTGTCTTTAAGATTGTAAGATATAACTAAAAAGATATGTAGTAAGATGAGTAGAAATTGTCATCCTATGTGACATCCTACTGCTTGTTTGGTTTTTGGCACTGGGGATCCAACTCCAGATCTTGCGCTTAACAAGGCAGGTGGTGGCACCATTGAGCTAAATCCCCAGCTCTCATCCTATGGTTTTTTAAGAGAAAGATTATGCACATTATAAGAAACAGTGCCCAATGAAGACAGATTAAGGTTCCCTGAAAAGGGAGAAAAACAATGACTGGCAGAGAACTACCTGGGAAATCAAAACAAAATAAAACAAAATCAATGCTTCTTTAGGGTACTTAAAAGTCACAGTAACACAATTGATTCTTTTTTCTAAAAAAGGGATAAAGGAATTTGACAGAGGTTTGGTAATGATGGGGTTGGTTGTATGACTTCACTGTTGTAAATGTTGGAAATTGCTGAAAACAAAGCTATATAATGAATATAAGATAATAATGATATACCTTCAGGATAATTTTAAAAAGCCAATTGTGCTACTGTTATAAAAGTTATATGAAATGGTTGTTGTAGCTTATAATTAAATCTTTATAGAAGTCTGACATGTCATGAGCTAAAACCCAAAATGAGAGTGATGTGCTCTAGTAAAAAAATCCTATGTATTTAAAAGGGGATTTGGATTGATAACAATGAAGACATTGATGTCAACATTAGTAAAGACACTACTGTACCTGTCAATGAAGAAGAAGATGGTAAGGTTTTGTTTGTTGGTTGTTTTTTTGAGACAGAGTCTCACTTTGTATAGTTCAGGCTGGACTTGAACTCACTATGTAGGCCAAGGCTGGCCTCAAACTCACGTCATCCTCCTGTCTCAGCCTCTAAGTGCTAGGACTACAAGAATGTGCCACTATGCCCTGTGATGGTTTTGATGTTTTAAAAAGTTTAAACTTTAAAGCAAAAGACAGCAGTTTAAGGTTTAAAAAGGTATAACAAATGTTTGTATTAAATTATAACATGGAATAAGAGGAAAAATACATCTAAGTAATATTTTACTTAAAAATACATATATATAATTAACTTCATTTAAATAAAAATTGGACCATTTCGTTATAGCTTTCAAAATAAAAAGTCTTATGTGGTTTTCTTCCAGAAAAAAATGGGTGATCACATTATGTTCAGCCTGCCTCAAGCAAGCTCCCTGCCAAATTCATCCTTTGCATTGCCAGCACATTCGATGAATGACCCTTTGCTGGGCTATGGAGACCTAACAGATCTGCATCCTCTCTTGTCCACTCTTGGCAATCTCACAATCACCTAAAACATAAAGATACCCAATACCAAACTTAAGAGTGTCACCCAAACAAAGAAACAAACAGAACAAAAACAAAACAAACAACAACAAACCCAGAAAATCAAAACCAGGCTCTCTTCCAACGTTTCTTACCTGAGTCAAGAGCAACTCCTTTGACCCAGTTAATCAAGACAGAAACCTTGGATCCAGTTTTGACTTTTCTTTTCATTCACCATTCCAAATCCCAATTCTTCAATATTTCTGAAATTTTTTTCTTCACACTAATTTGCATTTCTATTAATATCATGCTATGAGCCAATTATGCCTCTAGTTTAAACTAATTTATACTTTCCAAACAGAGAACATGCCACTTTCTCCAATGCATTCTCTATAGAGGTGATAGTGCTCTTTTGTAAAATGCAAATGTGTCTTTTTCTTGCTCAGGTCACCATTACTAATCATGGACCTTACTATATACAGAATATTCTGTAGTGTTAAGTATGTACACATTTATACAAAAAGAGTATTACATTACTTCCATGACTTAAATTACCAGGGATTCTCAATCAAGGGTATTAACATTTCCTGTGGATTTTTTTATCTTCTACAAAGTTGTATTCTTCTCTGCTTATCAGTCTTTCCATGTCGTGACCTGAGTACTTATGATTACCGTAAATAATATGTCATTTACTCTACTGTACTGGATGATGAAAGGTTAAGAATAATATACTGACCTTCAGCAGACAGATCTCCCTTATAAACCTTGTTTGCTACATATTTCCACCCATACATTTGATATGTACCTCAAATTCAATCCATCTAAATTAAAACTCAATGTCTTGCCACACACATATTTCTGCTCCTCTTTTATCTTCACAGTGAACACAGCACAAATTACCTAAGCCCAAAACATAACAGCTTTTAATTTTTCTTCACCTACAGCCCCTCAGACGATTACTAAAGCAGTGCATTTGACCCTAAGTACCTCCTGATCCATCCATCTTTTCTGTCACAACCCTGGCCCAAGTTTCCAGCACAGGCATTTCTCCCCTGGATTAGTGACTCAGATTCCAACCAGTTAATTCTACCTCCTATCTTACTGTTCCTTCCAAAAAGTATGAACTTTCTAAACAGAAAATTTGATGGTGTTTCTCCACTGCTTTCAAATCCTCAATGGTTCTTTGTTGCCTTCAGGATAAAACACATTACAATAGTCTTCATCTGCTGGTACCTCTTTCCAGTTTCAAATATGATACCCCCACTCACATGACCTCTAAAACTCTATACTGAGTTTTAGATCCTGAAAAAGAACCTTTCCTTTCCCTTTAACCCTTCTGACATACTGTTACTTAACTCTCACTGTATCTTTTACCTTCTTTATACAGCCATCGCATCTCCAAATAAGGCACTTATCATACTTGTATAGTAACCATGTGTGTCTGCTACACTTAAAGCTCTAGCAGGAATAGAAATAATATTTACTTTTCACAATTATAATCCTTGCACCCTGGCAGCAACAGAGCAGGAAATTAAAAGCATCAGCTCTGGTCAGACCTAAAGTGTCACAAACTGTGTGATAATTCAGGTCAATTACTTAAACCTATTTAGGTCAATTACTTAATGTCTGTTTCCATACCTGTAAAATATAGGCAGCATTATCTTATAAGACCGTTTATAAACATGATATATGAAGAATTTAACAAAGTGAAAGGCATATGGAAATGTAAGACACTAATACTTCTTAGTAAAGAATCTAACAAAGAAATTTGCTTAATAAATACACTATTCACAAATTAAAACCATATATTTTAATAATTCTATGTACATACAATTCATTTAATTTCCAAATAAAGTGTATAATTCTGTGAGAGGCATTCCATTTTACGTTCATGTGGCTGGCACTGTTGTTCTCATATAGCCAATATTTAGTTGAATTATAAAGCCGAATGTTCAAAGAGAATGACCTGTGCCTCACTTTCAGGAACAATTTGTTTATGAAGATGAATATGCTCCAAACCAGGGCTTTCTAGAGAATCTGGGTTAGTGTTACAAATTGAGGCAGTTACATTATACCTTGCTGATTGATAAAAGCTGTAATATTCAAGTCTATTTTCCCCTGAGTTTTCTGGTGCCTTTAATCTTTGTTTAAATTGAACAACTTTATAGATCAAGAAAATGATTAAAACACAAGCTAAGATGAAAAAAGCTAGCAAAATGTCAAAAGCCTCATTCAAGTTCTCAACTTCCTGGGTACAAATTAGTGATGGTTTCCCTGACAATGAAGCAGCATCAATTGGTAGAGCACTTTTTTCCAAGTTCAAGTTAACAGAAGTAGTAAGTTGTACTTGCACAGGCAACACTGTAGTAGTCTCTAACGGATTACCAGGGGTATTCTCTTGAAAAAATCTATTGGCAGGTGAAATGCGAATTCCTTCCCAGAAAGTAACTCTCTCGGTCTCAGTATTTTCCAAATGTTTCCCATGTGTGGTTACTTTATGCCAGGCCATCATTAATGCAGTGGTCTTGTGATGAATATGAAGAGGTTTTACAGCCCAAACTCTGGATACATTTGCCGAAGATGTAATGCAATTTGGAATGTCAGTCCATTTAACATAACGTAATGCTCAGCCACGAATGAATGGGGAATTTTGACAATAGACGTTTAGAGCAATAGCTGAAGATGCTAGCCAGTCTCGAAGGCCCAAAAGTTTGCAGTTAATTCCCAAGGATTAGAATGTGCCTGAAAATGAATCAATGCAGACAATGGCTTAAAGACCCTTGGATGTAAGTCTGTAAGATTATTAAAGGACAGATTAAGGATCTTCAAAGATGCTCCCATGTTTTCAAATGTATGATTATCAATACTGATTATTCTGTTTCTATCTAACTTAAAGTAAGTTAAAGTATTTAATAAACTTAATGTGTCAGAATTTAAATCTAAATCATTATGGCTTAAGATCACGTTTAAATTTTTAATGCTACTAAACCCATTTCTAGTAACATTTTTAATTCTCAAATTTTTTAGGACAAGATACTCTAAATTGCTAAATCCTTTAAACACAAATGGCTGTATTGTTTCAATGGGGTTATGAGACAAAGAAAGTCTTAAGATTCTTAAGCACTTCAAGAGCATTTGACAGTCCTTTGTTAAATTATTACTTTCTAGATAAAAAAATATAATCAAGGTTTCTGAGGTGCTGAAAGCCTAAGTGTGATGTCTTTAAAATATTACTGCTTGATAAATCAAGTATCTATAGAGCAGTCATAAAACAAAAGTACCACTCCCAAGAACAGTGAGGTGATTTCCTTGTAAGTTTAAATACCGAACTGAAACTAGATCTTTAAACCCTCCTCTTAGAACAAAGGATACTTGATTACATTGTAAATATAAATTACAAAGATTTGAAAATCCCTTAAAAATTCCAGGATCTAAGTGTTTTATAAAATTATTATTTAGATATAGAAAATACAGATGCCCCAATTGAACAAAGGCATTTGGATACACATATACAATACTAGAATTATCCAAATACAATGCTATAACATAATGAAGTCCTGTTAATTCATTTTCACTTATATAAGATATATTATTTCCAGTCAGATATAGAAAAACTGTACTTTCAGGAAAATTCTTAGGAATACTTGAAAGGCCTAAATTACGACAGTTAATTTGTCTCCACTGCAGAGCTGACAAAGAGAGGAACATCCAAATAGCTCTTTATGGAATAACACAATACAAGAAAACCGGTAACAAGTAGAGAAGTAGGCAAAGCAGAGAAAACTGTAATCGACACATAGCCCTGTTCTTGGTTTTTCTGTTCATATCAGAATTGGCTATAAAAAAAGAGGGGAAAATTTGAATGATCTGAAAGTTCTTAAAAATTTAAGTTATATAATACTAAAATTTCTTTATTTTCATTAGGATCAGCTAATAATACAAATTATATTATATGAAATAGTATAAAACAATGAGTGTTTGGAATATGCTCTAGAATTATTATCACCTGCTGGCCATTATCTGACTACTTGACAAAAAGATAATTCAGGTTTAATGAAATGCAAAATGTTTGCTAAATTAATTTAAAATATTTATCACAATTGATAACAAAGGTGACAAATGATGTAGGACGACAGAATGTGGATGTATGTCCCTTTATCAATTTAAAATTTAATATCAAATAACAATTTATGAAAAATATATAGCACAATCTCTTTAAGCTACAATATTTCACATAACTAAAATATTTCATTCTAGCTAAAAGTTTATATTTAAATAAATAATCTTACCAAGAACAGGAAATTGATATTTTAATACTCAGTTGACTCAAGAAAACGTTTTCTTTTTAAATCTGAAGAGAGACATTGCTAAACTCCATTTCTGTTGACCTCCAGCTCTCCACCTCTTTTTTTTTTTAAGCCACAGTTTGCTCAGGAAACACCACTCTTCACATTGGTTCCTCTATAGTTAGTGTGTAAAACAGAGGTTGCCATGGATACAGGAAACTGAGAGACAGGAAGTAATTTTATCTGTGTTTTAAAAGTACTGTTGAAAGGAAATCTCAGGAACTTATTTTTCAGAATGCATTGAGAGTTTTCCTATGTATGTAGCTAAATATCTCCTAGGATTTAAAAATAAGATTTTCTTTATAAAGGTATTGGAACACTTTAGATTCCCCAAATTTAAATACTAACAGACTCTAGCTATCAACAGATAACCATTGAGTACAAAAAGCTAAAATAAGTATACAAAATTATATAACTTTTAGTAATTTTTACATCCATAAAATATTTTTGTATTTGCAAATGTTTCAAACTTCAACGTTGCGCTTTTTTTTCCTTTAAGAATAATTAAAATCAACAAACAATTTGTGTATAAAAATACTGAATACTATCAGTCAGCACCTTAATACGTGAAGGTGTATTCTTGGGTCATGACACAAAGTTGAATGCTAAATTACTAACACAGATTACCAGTGCATGAAAAGTTAGAATAAGACACTGAATAATGTTTGACCCTTTCAGAACCAAAAACAATATTGGGGGGGTTATTGGGGATCAATAGCGTGTGTTTTAAGGTAAACATTCACAGAATTGAACTGTCAATACTATATTACATAATGTTCAGTCATTAATTTTTTAAAAGGTCAATTGTTTAGGTTATCTAACTCTGACTTTTATGAATATTACTAATACCTTCTGGGGCCAGGATATATTCAATGGTAGAATACTTGCTTAACATGCATGAAGCCCTGTATTCAACGCAGTAGCAGCAGCAAAAGCTAAAATACTAAAAAATTAAAATATTTAAAACATCAGAAGTAACATATACATTTAAACTAGACTCTCAATTTTATCTCAATTTCTTTCGTACCTGGAATTGAACTCAGGTCCTTGCACACTTGCAAGGCAGGCAGAGGAACCACTGAGCTAAATAAATCCCTAGACCTAGACTCTCAATTTTAAAAGAGCTATATATCTTAAGAAGTATTCTTTAAACAGCAATGTGAAATGCTTTAATAATAAATACTTGGTTTGGTACTTGGCACTATCTCTCTAGACTACAAAAAATAGGTGCATATTGGATAGCAAATCTTTATTAAAATGCTTTAGAATTCTCAACTACCCTTTGTAGCTGGCTGTTATTTTAGATTAAAAAACAAACAAACACACATGAAAACAACAACAAAACAAATTATAGAAAAAACATCTTTTAGAGGTAGGAACCATTTTGTTTAGTACTGTATTTTCAGAAACATATAAAGTGGAGTAATATACAGCCAACAGAATTTTCAATTTCATTGTACAACTTCAAGAGTTAGAAAGTCAAAGGGTCCATCAAAATCTAAGGGGAAAAACTACAAGGCACTAAGACTAGAACATTATTACTTTTTTCTTCATTTCAGAAGTTTCCAAAGCAGATAAAAACACTTAAGATTTATACCAAGTTTTACGAAAACTATACTAAGGAAAAATGACAAAATTAATCTGATTACTTCTCACACTGTAACTTCACTGCAATTGAGACAACGAATCTAAATAGCATACTGAAACTCTCAGGTTGATGTGGTAAAAATTCCAATATCCAGCAAAACAAAGTTTAACTTTTTGTCCATCTATGAGTTTCTGCTCTTAGAGACACATGTTCATTAATAGAGAGAACATTGAGGTCCAATGAAGTAGATGCAGAAGTGAATTCTAAGACCTCGTATCACTTGTTAGTGGCAAAAATGGCCACTTGAGCTTAGGCTAGACTTCAAGTTTACTGATTTCCTGCTGTACTTACTGGAAGGTATAAACAACTCCAATTTTAATGAGCTTTAAATTATGTAATATGCTTTGCTAAATCTTCAAACGATCTTCAATGCTCAATGAATGCATCCAATGTTAATTTTAACATGTTAATTTTGCTGTGTAATGACATACTAAAATGGATCTTGTTTTCTGATTCCAATTAATATTCATTACAAATACTTTTGAACACATTAACCATCTATATGAGCTCCCCCCTATTCCTTTTCAGGAAACTGACCCACTGAATTGTTTTCCTCTTATTCTTTCTTTCCACTGTACTTTCCTTTATGCTTTTTTTAAATGTCATGTTTCAGGTATCAATACACACCTATTTTTTTTCTATTCAGATTCTGCCCTAAGAATAAGTGTCTGAATAAACAATTGGTCTATTATCATCTTTTAAATATATACCACCTATATATATGTAAATATATAGCCTCTGCAATTATTTGGCTAAGTGTCCCCTAAAAGGCCCATATGTTAAATGATTAGTGCCTAGCTTGGCGCTCCCAGGAGGTAGTAGAATCCTATCAGAGGTGGGTGCTAGTGGAAGCTTTTAGGTCACAAGGGCACACTCTTGAAGAAGACTCTGGAATGCTGGTCCTCACTCTTCTGAACTGTGCTATGAGATGAGGGCTTCCTCGACTATGTGTTCCCACCAAGGTAGGCAACATCACCACAGACCCAAAAGCAAAGGGCCCACTGAGCACAGACTGAAGACTCTAAAACTGTGACCCAAAATAAACCTTTCCTGTTTTTAGTCCAATTATCTCAGGTATTTTGTTATAGTAACAAAATGCAATTAACATAAGATATATATGTACATATATATTGGTTTATATACAAAGACTGGTTTATGATCTCAGTTATGAATAAGTCATTTATAAACTCTAAAATCAAGATAATCAACTTTGAAATTAAATTTACAATTTAAAGAACGTAGTAAACAAATAATGATCACTTTGCTCAATGTACAGTGCAAATTTTAATGAGAAGCAGCTTAATATCAACAGCTTAGCAGCCACAAGGAAAAAAATAGTAACTGTACAACACTGTGACTAGAATCAGTTAATATCATCAGTGAGAAGCAGGTACCTCTGCATGTGATATTCCAAGAAAATACAACATTGATTATGCATTATTTCACTTAGGTTTTCAAAATCCAATTCTAAATTATAAGGAAACATCAAACACATCACAATAAAGAACATCTACTCAGCTGGGAGAAATAGAGAGTCAAAGGGAAAAAAGGAGAGAGGTAAGGACTTACTGTTTAAAAATATTAGTCATGGGAAGAAATAAGACTGAGAATTAACATCACAGAGTAAAAGAGATTATAAAAACATAAAAACTAAATATAATTTTTGATCCTGGACTAAACTACTAAGATGTAAAGGGCCACAGATGGTTAAGAAAATAAAACTGTTTTTCTATCTACAAGCAGCATCTGTTCAGGCAAATGATAAAACAAATGGACAAAGGTTAACAATAGGTGATTTGGGGTACAGCTGTATGGTCTTCTTTGCACTTTCTGTAATATTTTTCTAAGTCTGAAATCATTTATAAATAAATATCATAACAGCTATGATTTTTATACAAGATCTGTCCTTGTGTATTATGGTCACAAAATGCCATACTTTCTAAGTTTTTAAGGTATATTTTAATTAAAATAAAAATAGAAACAACTCTTATGGTCCTATAGGATGGCAAAGTTATAAAAATCTCCATTTGTTCAAATGTCAGCAAGGAGATTTAAGAAATGTTCAGTTACAAATCTAGTGATGTGAATATAAACTATGCACAGAAACATAAAATTTCTCAATTATGCATGTGACTTTGGAGCATTAAAAACAGTCATGCTTCCTAACAATGTGCTGAAATCTGAACACTTTCAAGGTACAAAATTCATCATTCTCCCTAGTTTAACTGCATGAATATTTTTAACTGTATAAGAACATTTTTAACTGGACATGGTGGCACAGGCCTATAATTCCAGCCCTCAAGAGGCTGAGGAAAGAGGTTAGCAGTGAGTTCGAGGCCAACCTGAGCTACATAGTTCAGGGCCAGCCTAAACTACAAAGTGATACATCTGTCTCGAAAAAAAGATCATTTTTAATTTCAATTCCTATTACAATCATTTTGAGATACCCCAGCCAGCCAATTCTTTCCTTACCTGCCTTATAGAATAGTCTGTGAACAAGAGAACATTAATGCAGGTAAGGTAAGGGCATTTTTTATCTCTAATTTTCAAGGCTGATTATTTTTCTAGCTAGGTCTTATTTTGAAGGAGAAGGGATAATCACTGTGTTAAAAATTATACAATGCAAGGTGACTTAGGAAATTGGAACAAATTTCCAAATGTTGATATTAAATATACTTATATTTGAGATAAATGAGAATTATAAGGGAAATGGGTATCTAATCTAAGTAGGCTTTGTAAAGCAGGTAACTTTTTCCTGGAAAGCAAGCCATTATTTGTAAACATCCAGCAGTTACTGCCAACCCCCTTTACAAGTATGCAATTTAATATTCCCCACTGGTGACTCCCTTGAATAAAAAAAAAAAGTGAAATTCAAAATTGCTAGAGCTTGGTCTGAAAAATGACATTAAAAATTCTTAAAACTGTGTTTATAAATATGTTTTTGAAGTTGGAAGATAAAAGTTTTGAGAATCCTCACTCACATCTATAAGTAATAATTTTTGTTTAATCTATGCCTCTTGATGAAAATTCATTCGAAAATATTTAAAGGCATACGTAAATAAAAATCTGAATATTATTTTGATATAAAATTAGCTGAAGAAAATATTCCTTCTACTTATAAATAATATAGATCCTAAATGGGAGGGAATCGAACAGAACATTCACAATTTGAAAATTATTCTAACTAAAAAAATTAACTGCTATTTTAGAAAGGACACAGGAATTTGTACTGCACAATTAAAAATAAAAAAGACTTCTGTACTTAGAGAGTGACCAAAATGATATAAGGATGTTAAACCTGACATAAACATAATCGTGTATTTTATCTCAGCTACTATTCTTACAAAATATGTAAAACAAATGTGCTGATGATTATATCATTCTCCTGTATTTCCTGGCCTGTGTCATTTCTAGTTTTCTCTCAATAATCTTAATACTAATATATTTTATTAACCTTAATTTTTTTTCATCCATTAATTTATTTAACATGTTTACAGAGCACAGACTACTGTCAAGGAC